TTTTTGGACCTTTTTTTTTATGGATTTCAGATGTATTATCTTTAGTAAAATATGTGTTTGATTTCTCGCAGGAATTTGCATTTTTTGATATGTCATCGTCGTCGAGATGTTTCATAGTAACGAAGTCGATGATGTACTGCAGGTTCGTAGTGAGGTTACGACCTTGTTCCTGTATCATCGATGGATCGGTGCTCGTCCCCTCGTCTGTCCGCTTCGCTGCTCATTCCTTCCTAACTTTAGTTATTTGTCTCCGGATGCACGGGCAGCGGGAATGCAATCATTCTGCACACTCCACTTCCCATTTTCGCATTCATCACATTCACTTGTTACATTTATTTTACATCCAAAGGAACTCTGCTTTTTTTGAGTTTTTCCGCAGATGGAAGTGCGCCTTGAAATTGCCTTCTGCAGTGAGAATTTAGTCCAAATTGGGCTCCGACGCGTCTTCTGCTCTTCATGATGTCACTGATTTTCCCGGAATGCAGTCTGTTCCGCTTGGCGAGTGTTTCTGAGTGACATAATTTCTTGTAGCTAATAATTACTATACAAGCTGAAGCATTCCCGGATTAAATATTGCGCGTGTATTGTTGCTCTGTGAGGATTCCTGTAATCCGGTTAGAAAGTATACGTTTACTTTATTCTCAGAATCCATAAATCTGTTTGTAATCAATACAAAAGGAGATAGGGGCATGGGAGGTGGCATTTGAAGCTTTTTTTTTACGATGGACTGAGGTGAAATGTGCATCTCACATGGGAAAAGGAGATTTGGATAGCAGCTGAGCTTTTCTGGGAAGCTGAAAAATTAAGTTCTATACAAAAGACGATTTCAGTATTTTACACATATGTGCTGGAGTTACAGATTTGATCAGTACGTGTAAAACACATATGTTCACAGAGACTAGCAAACAATTCGTTGAAAATAAGCAAATTCGCCAGTAATCTGACCGACAGATGATAAAGCACTGGTCAAAGCAGTTGGGAAAGTTGCTTGAGAAAAATATTTTGGATTTCAGCTGAGTATTTTGCCTGTGTGTGTATGCGTTAGTATTGATATTCGTCGAATTTTACCGTAGTATCTAGCGCGCAAAATCTATTCTTTTGGTTTGGTAAATTAGTTGAGTATCTTTTTAGTTGCTTATCATTTTAAGACGGTAATTTTTTGCTTATCGGTCTTCGTTCTTATAAAGTATCTCGTAATAAGATTTTTTTGCAAAACCGATGTGAATATTGCGTGTTGCTTAGCAGCCCGGTTATTCATCTCCACCCTCGGTCTGCTCAGTGTTTTATTTGGTTGGCGTTATTGATTTCAAGTTTCTTGATACTGTCGGTTTTTAGCATTATTGGCATTTACTGATTTGCCTTAACTGCCAGATCTACCAGGGTAGTTGGTGTGGGGATCCATTGTCTGTAGTGTTACCCGGATGCTCCCACATGCCGGCCGCACCTGCGCCGATTTATTTAAAACGAAAATGTGGTGGCACAAAAAGAGAACTTTATCAGTGAGTCGTTTTTTATTTGTCTGAGACAGAGGTGATCGAAAAAATGCTGCCATCGATAAGTTAAGTAGCTTAAGTTCTTAAGTGAAACCTTTTATAAAGCTGAGGTGACCTCATTGCCTTCTTGCTTGCCCGGCCTGATAAGTCTGTAGATTAAGATTAAAATTGCTTGCCATGGCACTGGCTGCGTTTTGATTGGACGATACTAGGAATGCAGCAAAGTTGATAAAGTCTTTGTTTGCATTTCGTTTTACTGATTAAACGTTAAGCAATAGCTAAGTGTCATTTTATGTGACTGTGCGGTTTTGCCCGGTGCACACAACTGCCCTTCA